ATTCCGCCACTTGAACACTGTGTCCTTCTAACAATCAGCTGTACTGGCCAACCTTCCCCGTTAGCTCATTTTGAGTTTCTCTTTATGACAGGGTCAGGTAGATCTCTAGACATGCATTAAACATGTCTTTGAATCCGTGTGTTTCAATGAGTGAACGCTGTAGATGTGCTTTAGGCAATTGTGTACTTGTACTGTAGCACTGAACCTGCTCTTAGCTGTTAGTTGGGAGGTTGAATGCACTTATTGTAAGTCACAAAAGCGTCTGCCAGAGATGGGGACTCGAGTTTGTGACTCGGACTCGAGTTGCACTTAAGTCGCACACACAGAGACTTCAGACTTGACTTGGACTCCTGCTCAAAAGACTTCGGACTCGACTTGGACTCGTGTTTTGGGACTCGTGAACAATCATTGTGTTTTCTATTTTTGGCGTATTAAAGGTGGGGTAGGTAAGTTTGAGAAACCGGCTCGAGATCGCTAGAATTTGAAAATACACAACCGGAGAAAATCTGCCACTTCCTCACAGAGCCCCTCCTCCAACACACACGAACGCGCACATGACCAATGAGGGCACGAGATAAGTTTGTGCCCCGATGGAAGGCTGACAGGCAGGTAGGCCATCCAGTTACTTTAGCCGGGCCGGCTATCGGGATGTTAAGAGCATTCCATGGAATATAACAAAAAGTGTATCTCGAGCCGGTTTCTCAAACGTACCTACCCCACCTTTAACATTAACATTAACATCATGGTAACACCATGGCGACCGGCGGCACACCTGCAGCTGTACCGCTTGTAATTAGGTTCAACTATAAAAACTTCGAACAAAACGCCGGCGGCGGCACCAACAAAAGGAGCGCACACTGCAAAGTCTGCAATATTAAAATCAAGGATGCTGGTGCAACAACGTCAAATGTCATCAGGCACTTGAAAACTCACCCGGAGAGGTCAGTCACATTCACGCATATGGACATGTTTAGCTCAGCATCAGCTATGTAATGTTAACTTAGCTTGCTACTAGCTTTGTAACTGAATATTTGAAAAGATGAGTGAATGTTTGCTTGTCACACTTGTTTGCGTTGAGTGGCGTTGACATCCAACTCTTGACATGACATAAAAAAGGTCGGTAACGTTAATCATTACGTTCCGCTGCCACCATCTACTGGCTAACGTTAAACGTAGAAAAATACATAGTTACATACATAAATACATCTGTCGGTTTATAGGCAGGTTACAGGTTTATTGTTGACCACGTAACGTTAATGTTACAGGTTTATCAGGTTACCATTACACTGGGTTTGAGTGAGAGGATAGAGGAATATGTTTATTTATAGTAGACTTAAAAGATGTCATTAGAGACCCAGTGTAATTAAACAATACGGTTGCAGAGGTCAAATTTAAAATGGCTAGCCTAGTGAATGTTGAAATGTTACCAGCCACTCAATAGATTGAGTTTTGTTATTTGTGGCTGGTGCGTGCAACATACAGTACCAGCCACTTGCATGATTTACCAGCATTTGGCTGGTAAATGGTGTTAATGGTAGATATCTCTTTTGGAACAGGTCATGTTTTAATATCACCAGTTCAGTATATTTCAGATAATATTGCAGCAATAGTTTTTTAGTTGCAAATGGCACAGAACAAATGTATACTTTTAAGTACTTTTAACACAGTTTCCCTGCGGGGGATTAATAAAGTATTTGTGATACTGATTTTTGATTCTGAAGTGTTTTGCTTATAAGTTGTTTACATTTAGCTAAAGTGTGATGTTTGTCCTCATATTGCATTGCGCCTGTTTAAAGTGATCATATAACAAACAACTAATCAGTACTGATACTGTATGCTAATAGATATAGGAGTGATAATAATACAGTAAATGCTTTGAATGTCTTAGATATAGCTGTGCAGTATTCTTAACAGACTGGATAGCAGCAGACAATAGAAGGCTTATTACAACCAGAAGAGACATGAGACTTTTATGTTTTAGAGACTTGAGACTTGACTTGGACTCGTGACCAAAGACTTGAGACTTGATCAAGTCTCACCCCACAAAGACTTGAGACTTGACTTGGACTCGTGACCAAAGACTTGAGACTTGACTTGGACTTGCAAAAAAAGACTTGTGAACATCTCTGGCGTCTGCTAATCGAATCTAATGCAATGATGTGTAGTAGGTATTCTCAGAGAAAAACCTGAAAGCACACGTCTGCCACACACACGTGTGTGTGTGTGTGTGTGTGTGTGTGTGTGTGTGTGTGTGTGTGTGTGTGGTGTGTGTGTGTGTGTGTGTGTGTGTGTGTGTTGTGTGTGTGTGTGTGTGTGGTGTGTGTGTGTGTGTGGATGTGTGTGTGTGTGTGTGTGTGTGTTGTGTGTGGTGTGGTGTGTGTGTGTGTGTGTGTGTGTGTGTGTGTTGTGTGTGGTTGTGTGTGTGTGTGTGTCGTCGTAGTACGTCGTCGTCGTCAGTCGTCGTCAGTCGTCGTCGTCGTCGTCGTCGTCGTCGTCGTAGTCGTGTAGTACGTCGTAGTCGTCGTAGTCGTCGTCGTCGTAGTCGTAGTCGTCGTTAGTCGTCGTCGTAGTCGTCTCGTCGCGTCGTGTCGTCTTCGTCGTCGTCGTTCGTCGTCGTCGTCGTCGTCTAGTCGTCTCGTAGTAGAGTCGTCGTAGTAGTCGTTAGTCGTCGTTCGTAGTCTGTAGTCGTCGTTCGTCGTGTAGTCGTCGTCGTCTGTCGTCGTGTCGTCGTGTCGTAGTCGTATCGTAGTAGTGTAGTAGTAGATAGTAGTAGTAGTAGTAGTAGTAGTAGTAGTAGTTAGTGTAGTAGTAGTAGTAGTTAGTAGTAGTATTCAGCTTCCAGTCAGCCTGAAAAGCTTTTATATTGCGTTTGTATGTTTGGTTTTCTGTCAGTTGAAATGTAGCAGACTGATAGTGTATATTTTGAAATTCAGCAACAGGTATCTTGACAGCGTTCTCATCGTGACAGCTTTTAGGTTTTATTGTGATTTTAAAATGCCCTGCCAGACAGTCACTTTCTTTCCAGCAACATTTTCCCCTGGGAGTCCTAAAGCCTTCTTATAGTTGTAGAAGACCCTGGCACTGCCTTGTAAAATGTTGGAGTTTTTTATTTGCCGTATAGTTTATTTAACAGCATTTTAGTTTAGTTTTAGTTTATTTGAAATACAATTACTTACCAGGTAATCCCTCGGTTGTGCTTAGGCCATACTAGGTGATACAATATATTTAAACTTGACATCTTTAAAGACTCAACTATCGTAGTATTTTTCCTAAAGAGTTCTCCTCTGCCCTCCCTCTCACTTTCGTCCTTCTCTCTTTTAAGCTGAAATTGTTCAGCTTGCCATCCCCCCCCCCGCTGTGCAGTGTTGTCCACCTAGTGAGTTTCTATCCGCCTTTTCTCTGCCACCATCTGTCTCTACCTCTCGTTCTCTATCGCCTTTCTCTTCCTCTCTGTCTGCTTTACCTCTTCATCCATTGTATTCTCTCCATCTGTCTTCCTCTGGATTATTCCTACCATTCTCCTTTCCTTTAACCTTTGTTGTTTCTCTCTCTCTCTTCTTTTCCTCTCTCTGATCTCCATCCCTCGTTCTGCCTTGTCTTTTTAACACCACATGATAGCCTCCTTTGCCAGTTGGTGTCTGCTAATCCATGGCCTCAGTACATATCATTTGTCTGCTTTACATACACACATCACAAACAACTTTAGGGCACAACAAAGCCTGTGAGTCTGCAGCTTATGGTTTGTGTGCTTACATGCTTAATTTAAACCTGACACTGTACTATAGCCCACTGTGGATATTGATTTTACAATGTCTGCCGCACCACACTTCTGTTTCTTTCTCTCTCTCTCTCATTATGCATCACTGTGCCATTATAATATCACATTTCCCCTGTATCTCTCAATCCCCTGTAGAAGAGTCATCATACATACCATGAGATATCTTGCCATTACTTATGTACCACAAACACATGTTGTAATTCCTCCCTCGGTATAACTGCAAAACACATGTCCACAGCTGGACAGCGACACAAACATACTCCCACCCACCACTTTCCTTGTCATGAAACATGTAAGAAGTGGGTCAGTAGGATGTGTGACGTCCCACACACACATACACACTGCGGCTGATTAACAGCAGGCAACATGTATCTCGTTTCTCCGTAACATCCCCATCATTCCACCACAACCTGCCTAATTAGTCCCACAGAGTGTCGACGATCAGCCAGTCTGTCTCTTATGCCGGTGTGTGGGTGTCTGCTTAAGTAGCTTGTTGCACATTTGATGTCTTTAGAGATGCACTTGAGGGTTTTTTTTCCCCCATGAAAATGATGGGTCCTGTTTATAATGATGACCTGCATTTGCATTGCAGTTTTTAAAACGGTAAAACATTACGCCGTATAATTACAGATACAGAATGAATAAAAGGCACAGTGAAAATGTCAAACAAGAGGAGGGTTTAAAGGGCTTAAGCAAAGGTATTGAAAGGAAAGGATTGGCAGAAATGTTAAAAGCCTGTGAAGAATTGATATCTATGTGGGTTTTCATTGGTATTTCAATCAATGTCTCAAAGACTTTCTTGTACACTTAAGCTGTAACCCATTCCATTCAAGTTTTGACTTGTGCAATATTAATAGCGATGTACATGTAAGTAGTGTGTGTTGTTCTGCACTATTTGAATCTGAGGTCTGGAGATATAATATATAATTCAATCATAAATAATCAATAACACCCCCAAATCTTAAATCATCGGTTTCTTTCTCTTCGCTTAATCTCCCTTCCTCACTGTCCCACACACACATTAGTTATTTAATTTGCTTAAAAAGGGACACAATGCTGAATAATAAAAGTAAAATATGAATTTCATGGAAAGCCTTTATTTATATATCTTTTACTATCGCTATAGGATGCATAGTGATCTTTTTCCTGCTTTCTCTATCATGTTATATTCTGTCCTTTTCCTACTTTAGTGTTAACTCTTGCTGTTGTTGTCATCCACCAGGGAGTGCTGAGTCCCTGAGTCAACGCACTGCATTTTGGGAAAGTCTGGAACCCTCTCCATGGGCTGTACCACCTGCTGACAAACCAGGGGGGTCTGGAGGAGTTGAATGAGGTGAGATTGTCACACATATCCCTACTTTTCAGTAAAAAAGTAAATTCTGATTTGAGATGGTTCTATGGAGACGTATATCTTAGTCTTAGTTGAGCTTATGTTGATGTTTTGATTTTCAAGCTTGAGGACAGAGGTTGAATGCTGACTGTTGAATCATTGCTGACAAACTGCCACCATGTTGCTATTACAACCTAAAAGCTGCTAGTCGGACGGCCATGTTTAATTTGATGTTATAAAATCTGACGTCAAGGACTTTATAACCCCGTGTTTTCCTCTTAGCCAAGAGCTTTGCTTAAAAAAACCTATCGCCCTGGTCACATTCCAGATGCGTGTTAAGTAAAGCGCATTTTATTTTAATGTGAGGGACGTGGCAGCTCATCACATGGACAGCTCACAGTTTCCTCTCTATTGCTTTAATCCAGAGCTCTGTTCAAATAAATGACTCTCCTAATCCTCCTTCTCTGTCAAGAAATATAATGTGTTTACCAAATAGTATGTTTGATTCACTTTCTCACAGCATCAAACAGTCAGAAAGATAAGAAGGCACCTTTCAGTTGCTGGACTGTGAAGGCTGATAAACACCTTCAATTTCTTGTACACATGTGCGTAGCAGGGAAAGGCCAAAGGAAACAGAAGAGAGAGTTCGCACACACTTTCGTTTATTTGCATTATTGTACTCATAACAATACAGATTTGGCACTGAAGCACTTTGCTACACATCATAAAGGTCTAAAGCACCGAGACATTGTGTTTCTATTACATCTCATTGCGAGTTAACATCAGTGTACTGCAACTATCTCTACTCTTATCTTACACTTTCTGAAATGACGCTAGAGGGCCTCAGCTAGATAAGGGTGCTCCTGCTGTGCTGTGATTGGAGGAGAGGAAACTTTAGCAAAGGGAACGCTTTGCTGCCTAGTGACTACGTGTTTGTCCATGTGAGCTCTCTGTTGGAGCAGAAATATATTTTCATACATAACACCTTCAGGTATCAGTCAGTGAGGGATCTTCCAGCGAGAAGAGAAGCCTTACTGGCAGCGCTGAGAGTGCGAAAAACACCCTATTAATAATGTCTCTGTAAGGCCCGAGGAAGTGGGGTGGGGGGGGTTTATAGTTTATTGCTTTGTTTATATTCAGTATCTTATGTATATGTTTGGGTATGTGATGTCTTTGAATGTTCATTGATTTATTTCTATATACACAAATCTGCCATTCTGAGAAGCACACAACTATTCTCAAAAGTACTTACAGCAAAATAGCATTCGCTCTTTCTTTGTGGTAATATTGAGTCCCAGAGGAGACGGAGGGAAGTAAGATCGTAGGGTCAGCTGCAGAAAAGCACCTTGAGAGCTGCCGGCGATTATCTTGCGTGCAAACATTTCTGCAGAGCAAATCGTCGAGTTCAAGGATTTTAACTCGGGTTATTTCGTTGATGGATAGTCTCTCTACTCGCTATAAGGCATTCTTCCAGCGAAAATCAATAGGAACAAACATTCAAGCAAAGTTTTTTTTTTCCAAGTTCTTTCCTCTCAGATTGCCTCGCCTGTTTGGAGATGAGTGTTATTTTCCACTCCTCGTTCCCTGAGGGATACTCTGCGTGTCTGTTTACTGCTGTCGTGAGCAATAAACAATGGACATGGGTGACTTTAATAACAAACACTAAGCAACCTCCAGCGGAGTCTGCACGCAGAGTGGGAGATTAATGTTGGACTTCACTTGAGTGTCAGGATACTAATTGGCAGGTTGAGTCTCAAGGCAGCACTGATCTGTCCAGCTATAGGCTCGTAACATGCATCGCAAACTGATTAAAAACATTTCATTATTCCTCAGTCCAGGCATCAACAGTGCAGACGTTAAAGAGTTATATGTGCTGAATGTTATGAGCAACAAACTCAACTGTATACAAATCTAAAGTCACTGACCTCCATGTAATTGCTTAATTAATTGTTTGCATTATGATGAGTATCAGGGTGAAATGTAGGATTATTTGATTGGTTGGTTTGATCAGATCTGCCCAACACTTGTCAGTCGTACTTACACACTGCTATTAACCAGCTTTAAAGATAAACATTTTGGAAAAAGGACATTGTTCTTTGAGATAAAACAGTGTGAATGCTTTTAGAGTGGAAACCTAAATGTTGCTGCCTGTTGTCCTCTTACCTCAGCATTTGGTGCCTCTGAATGAGAAAAGGGAGTGCACTCTGGTCCTTGTCTTAAACAGACAAGCTTGTTTACATGAACTCAAACAAACACATGCATATGCACTAACACAAACACACACAGACTGAGCGCTCTCATTTACCCCACAGGGAGCAGGGTGTTCGCAGATTGCTGCAGTTCCCCTGTCTGTCTTCATCTCTCACTTGCTTGCTCTGTTTCGCTACCCCAATTTGCATCTGGGGTCATTTCAGTTTATTTCATCAAAGCTTTTAAGCGTGAATTTTGATTTCAAAAAGCGTGTCGGCGATTATTATAAATGTGATCCGAACGTAGGATTTCTATGTTTTTCTGTCTTCTCAATGTGCCTTATTGGCATAACTACAGTGCTTCCAAATCATGTTTCTATAACATTCCTTTTTTTCTGTCTCCTTCACTGTGCTGATTGAAGTGTGTGAGGTTATACTCCCCTCCTTCACACTATCACTCTCGTTCTCGTTGAATCCAAAGAGCAGAGAGTGTGAGTGCTTGAGTGTGTGGTGAGACAGAGAGACAGAGAGAGAGAGGGAGAGAGAGAGCTGGTGCTATTCTTGGCTGGTTGTGGAAGTCTTGGCTCCATGGCGTATGGGAAAAGTGCTCTTGGCAGGTTTTAAACCGAGGCATTCCTTAATGCTGTCCTCTTGAAACACTCACACTGAGACATATACACAAACTTGTTTTTGTCACTCAGGATGACATTGCTTTACTTAAATGATCCTCAATAGAGTTAATCACAAATGCTACATGCGAAACCAAACCCTTACATAAAAAAACCAAAGACTTTACCCCACAGCATGAGTAGTAGAAGTACACACTAGTGCTGGGGGGAAACGATTATTTTGAAAACGATTAATCGGGCGATTATTTGATCGATTAGTCGAACGATTATTTTTCTGTTGTTCAATTCATAAAAAACGTAATGTAAAAAAAAACGTAATGTAAAAAAATTTTTTTTCACGATACTGTGTCTCAGGGGATCTTAATATTTAAGAACCTATTAATGTGTTATACCAGATTAACGGAAATAATCTCAGCTAACTGACGATACAAACCATGTTTACCAAAACAAAACACAAGTCTCATAAGAAGCATCTAAATGACCCCTGAGCGAAAAATGCTAACGGACATTGGCACAGATCTCAAGATAAAAGTACCCTTATTACTTATCGTAGCTGCACATACAATATATCCGATTAAAGCTGAGACTCCACAGATTATGTAGGTACATAGTATCATCACTGAGTGATCCGGACTCGCGACAGGGGAAGCAAATACAGTCATCACAACACGTACCTTCACAGAGCTTCTAGGGAGATCGTCTCACCGCCGTAGCTGTCAATCTGATCAAAATACGTGTTCAATGGCATTACAATGAGAAAAAACGCGGTTGAATCGGTTAATCCATAGGTTTTTAACGTCTATGTATAAAAAAATTATTGAATTTATAATCCATAATTCCATTTTAAATCGGAGAGCAAATGCTAGCTGCTAATGGTTGCCACCACAGCTAGCTGCTGCTTCCGGTCAAGCAGCAGTCTCAGTGAGATATAAATATATAAATATCTTTGCGTTTTGGACTAACTTTAAAATATTCCCATGCTTTTGAAGACCTGGGGCGAGATGTTTTCGTTTGAGGGCTTCGTGCGCAATCCTGTGAGGAGGAGTTGGTAGCCGTTTCAGTCTCCATTGTGTTAGAAGTGCGATTGCGAACTGCTTGTTGCTTTGGGTGACTCACGTGTGTGTGGCGTCATACAGTCTATGGTGGCGACGCGTCGACGCGGAAATATGTCGTCGACGATATTTTGAAGTCGTCGACGCGTCGCTACAGCACTAGTACACACACACACACACACACACACACACACACACACACACACACACACACACTAAAGTGGCTAAAGCTTACATTTACATGCTCCTTAAGTTACACACTGCAGAGTCCTTGCTGTTTTCTTTCTCTTCTTACTCTACATGCATGCTTACTCACACACACAGGAAGGAAGGAGAAAGACTAAGTGCAGCCTCAAACGAGGGATTTCTAGTAGTACTACATTATGCCCTGAGGCCCAAAGCCTGAGTTTCAGTGTGCACAAACAACTACAAATAATGATGCTGAAAGAAAATGTAAGACAAGCAATAAGTGCTTGCAGACAGTCAGTCTGTCTGCACATCTTCAATATTTCATGTGACCAGTGTTGTGACTAACGCGTTACTGTAACGCCGTTATTGTTGGTAGTAACTGGTACTCTAACGCATTACTTTTTAAATGCAGTAACTCAGTTACCGTTACTACATGGTGCGTTACTCCGTTACTGCGTTTTTTTTTAATATATAGTCAACAGCCAGGCGAACAGAGATGAGTAAATGAGTAAATGTACTTAGATACTTCCTGTGTCACATGCGGAGACGCGCTGTGGGCGTGTTTGTGTTGTTTACTAACAAGACTATCATGGCGGCGGCGGAGCTCAAGTCTAGTTTCTCCACCTGGAGGTATTCTCACTATTTCACTTTTGTCGAGCACAAAGAAAAGAAAGTTTCTGTTAAATGTAAGTTGTGTCCTGGCGGGTCAAAGATCCTATCTACTGCCCAAACCAGTAATTCAAATCTCTTAAAACATCTGCAAAAACAACACGCTGGGACGAAGCTAGTAGCTAAGACCACAGAGACTCAGCCGACGCCACTCCACCTCCACCTAAGCAACAGCGGCTGGATTTTAACCAAGGGACTGTTAGCCAGGGAAAAGTCGATTAAGCCATTGCACGGTATGTTGTAGAACACATGCAGGCTATTGCTACAGTGGAGTC